AGCCACAATGATTTGGTCAAATAGGGATTGCAATTGATTATGTGTTACCATATATGCTTCTTTTAATTACTTACACTCTTCATTCATAGCTCTCATTTGCATTCTAATTTCAACCATAACTCCATTCAGCATTTGGATATGCCTTTGTGCCTTAGAATGTGCCTTATCCCTTTCTTGTACTTTTACTTGCAACTGTCCATTTTTTTTCAAAAGTTGGGCTAGTTCTCGATTAGTGGATGATCTTATTATATTAAGGTCAGTGAACAAATTCTTCCATTCATCCTTTTCTTGTTTGAGTGCTTAAATTTCCCTTTTAACCTTTTGTTTGCAAGCTTCAACTCTTTGCACTCTCTTTCTAAGCTAGTAGAAAACTTTGCTAAGCTTTCCATAAGTGTAACTGAGACTTTCCTAATTAAAATTATTTTATGGTAATTATTCATTATAATGAATCTAATGATGTGAATGTATGCATAGTAAAAAAAAAATGGTTAGTAGGCATATAATATATACAAGGAACAATATATAAATATAAAGAACATAAAGGGTTAGTATGCAAATAATATGTACAAAAACAATACATAAATTTACAAGCAATATAAATATCCCACCAATTGCCCTATTTAAGAATTTCTAACATAAGGGAAGGCGTGGCTTTAACTTAGATTCGGATGTTTAGGGTTTATTTACATGCTAGTTCTAGAGGTTTGACAATCTAAGGGTTTTAAATTGTTTCTTGCATCATTGTCTATTATAGACTAGTATGGTATCTTAATCTTCACCCATTATATGCTACAAGCGAAAAATGTTCAATTGAGTGGGAGTTTTTTGCTATCCCATGCGGAGACATGAAATCTTACAAAGGTGTAGATACTTTACTCTCTCATAAGGGAAAGAACTTGAATGTAGAGCTCATATTATGCACATGCAAATGAAGGGCAAGGATACAAAATAAATAAACAAAATAAATAAAATACAAACAAGAAAAAAATCTTAGACTTATTAGGTTAGGTTTAGATAATAAGAAATCATTTATTGACTTGGCTCTTGATATCCTAAATGAAGTCACAAAACTGTCATAACGTATAGATCTATGGATCATCCACTAGATATAAACTTTAGGAGTCGCCACTAATCTTTTTTTTTAGGTGCAATTGGCCACCTAATTGAATATATCACATTTTAAAGAAAATTTTCAAACTTGATTCAAGTATCCTTAAAAGGTAGATTCTAGTCTATAAATCATATTTTAGGTTTAAGAGTGTGATTACGTGTGAGAAAAGTTATAGCACCTCCACAGCATCTATCCAAAAGATTATATCAGTTTGATTTCAAATCATCCAAGCCTTAAAATATTTTTATAATTTTACCAACTAATTTAATATTAAAAATTTTTCTTAAATTACTCCAATATATTGAAAATAATTTAAGAATATTTTCTCATCTCAAGAGTATTCAAAGAGACTATTTGTTATACTTTGAAGAGGTTTTGTCGTCAGATTCATTTAATTTTGCTTCTAGAAATAAATATCTATAAACTGATTTTATAGTCAGAAATATCTTCCAATCTGTTGGTAGGATCGTAAATTTATTTGTTTGTGAAAATAATTTATTTTCAGAAATATCTTTTAATATGTTGGTAAGATTTTTCGTCAAGAATTATCCTCTAATCTATTGCTGAGATTTTAAAAAAAAAATATTTTTTAAGAAATACATTAAATCCTCCAATAGTTTGGTAGGATTAAAAAATATTTTTTTTGAAAACCCTTTTTTTAAAATTTGAAAGAAAAAAATTAATTAAAATAAAACAAAAATGATCATGCAAATAATATCATGCAATAATAATATAATATACCATGCAATAATAATAACCAAGGAAAATAATATAATCATGCAATAATATAATATATAAATTATCATACAATTAATATAAAATATCATGTAATTAATTAATATTCATGCAAAGATATAAATGAAAAACACCATAAATAATATTACCAAATTTTTTTTTCTTTTCTTCATTCCTTTTAAATTTTAATAATAATAATAATAATAATAATAATAATAATAATAATAATAATAATACAACATAAAAAAAAGGAAATGGAAATTTAAGAAAATCAAAAACAAAAATAAAAAGAAAATATAAAACAAAACCTACGATCAGGTCAAGTCAATAAATGGGTCAAGAGGCAGATCCACGTGGGTCAATTTGTTGCCAAAACGACATTGTTTCATCTTGGGTATAAAAGCCAAGATTTTGATTTTTTTCTTTCATATTTCTTTTTCCCTTATCTCTCTTCCCCTTCTTTTCTTTGTTTCTTTTTGTAATCGTATGAACACTAGTTGAATTTTTGTCAGTCTTTGAAAAAGTATGTCGATAATTGAAAATTTTCGCCGAAAGGTTGTTGGGAACTAGAAAACCCCGTCATGAACTTTAAACATTCATAGAAAAATTCATCTTTTTCCAAAAAAAATTTTCAAAAAAAAAAAACCAAACCCATAAATTTTCAAAAAATCAATTCAACTCCATAAATTCAAAACAAACCTAAAATCAAATCTAAATCCATAATCAAGCTTTTAGAACCAAGAACTATTCCATCAAACCAAAATTCCAGAATTAAAACTTAGAAATCAAAATAAAAAATTCTTAGAGCTAGAAAATTGAACCCAAAAAACTCTTCCCTAAAAAAAATAAATCTAGAAACCTGGAAAACTTTTAAATTCTTTTATTGATTGCTTCAGCCTCTCAATTGATTTTTGGTCACCCTCAAAATTAAAAACTAAAAAAACTCTCATGTTTCTAGAAACACAGAATAAAAAACCCTCAACCCCTCTCATTTTTTTTCTATTTTATAAAGATCAAAACTTCTTTTAATTTGGAAATTTTCCACATTATTTAGGATTTATTGTGAATTAATTTGATTTGCATAAATCAAGCTTAAGAAGATCAAATCCAAGATCTTTCAATTCATTGTTTTTTTGGATTTTCAACTTGCCCTTTTCATTTTTTGACTCTTTTTTTTTTTACTCTGGCTTTTTTTTTTACTTTTAATTTTTTAAATAAAATAAAATAAAACCAAAAAATAATAAATCAAATGAAAATTAAAATTTTTTCTATTAGGCCTAAAGCTTTCTAATTAGACCCAATTTATAGCCAAAGCCTTTTTTTCAGTTTTGAAAAAAAAATTTGGATAAAATGAAATGTCTAAAAGCCTTCTAGAAGATTAGACAAAAGGGGAAAAACAAGAAAGAAGCTTTGCCAAAAAAAAAAGCCAAAAAAAAAAAAACTTTTGTCAAAACCTAGAAAAACAGAAAAAAATTCTAGCTTATTGGAAAAAAAATCAAACACACAAGAGCAAAAAAAACCATCCTTTAGAATAGGGAACATAGCGCCAAGATCAAGTACAAAAAAATAAAAAATATTTTTTTTGGTTGAAAGTTTGTAGGCAGATCTTGAAATTTAGAGAAATTTTGAAGAAAAAGAAGCTAGATTGCAATTAAAGGGCAAGGAATTTTTTTTTTGTGCAATTTTTCAATGATCAACACGATGTTCAACAATAGTGGAGGTTGACTATTTCTGGGCAGGGAAGTCAGATTTTTTTTTGGTTTGAAGTTTTTTTTTTAAGTGAATGGCTTAAAATGTTTTGAAAAAAGGTTTACTTTTATAAGCTTAAAAAAAGGGAATGAAATGACACAGTTTTAGCCCAAAGAGAATCTGCACGTAGACTTGAATTCGACTTAAGGTCCATGCACCCGACTTATGACCTACTTCTCCATCAAACCAAGGATCGATCCAATTGAACCAACATAAACCAGGTCGAATCGCCAAATCATTGACAAGTCCATTAACTGACTAGTTCAATTTTTTTCTTTTTTTTTATTTTGTTCTTTTAATTTATTTTTTTTATCTTTTTTTTATTATTTTTCTTAGTTTAATTTTTATGTTCCAAAATAAATAGTTTTTAATGGAAAAATAAATTTAAAATTTAGATCATTTTTAAAATTCCACCTATTTCTTTTAAACAAAATAAAATGAAAAATAAAAATAGATAAAAAAAAATATAATATATATATATATAAGAAAGGAAATTTTTATTTTGATGATGAGATTCTAAGGTAATTTGAGTAGTGATATCTATGAAATCTCGGTAGGGTAAAAATTTTTTTTTTTTTTAAATACTTCCAACGTATTCAGGTATTTATGGAAAAATTTTCAATATAATAAAAATTTTTTTTCATTCTTAAAAATAAAAAAATTAATAACAATTTTCTTCTAAACAAGGGATAAATAAAATATACAAACTGATATTTCAATATTTGCATTACATGCATAACACTATATTTTTAAAAAAAATAAATATGAGCTATCGATTATAGGATTTTAAGATATTCTGGAGTAACGATATCTAAAAATCTCTAAGTGAGAAAATTCTTTCAATGTTGCCAATATTACTAAAACATTTAAAAATTATTTCAATTAACAAAACTCTTGCTTATTTTTCCTCACATAAAAAATATAAATATTAAAAAAATAAAAAAGTCAAAATTGTGATGAATAAAATAAATTAAGGAAATTATTGACAAATACCAAACTTAAGAGCATTTTTGACAAAATTCAAAAGATAGCATATAATTAATTGGTATCGTTTTAAATAAGTGTTGTAGGGGTGCTAATCCTTCCCCAAATATAATGGACTCCTAGACCCTAATTGTTTTGTAAACCCCAAAATTAGCATTTTAATAAATAAATTTAATATTTTATTAATTTTAATAAGTGATAAGTCATATCTAATAAAAAAAGATTGATGGTAATTCTTTGTCTTATTTTTAAATTCGTCTAGCGATTTTCAAATCTGTTATGACACCTATATGATTTATTAATTGAATCTTATAATTAATCTATATATGGATTTTGATCTTGACTTTTTATTTTGATTTGACCACTTTAATGAGAACTTCACAAAATTCTTTGGTGCTCTTCCAACTAAAAATCAACGATAATGGACGTTATGCATGTGGAGACAGTGGAAGTCATGGTGAACTGTTGAATGTTAAGTTAATTTAAACGTTGGATATAGAAATTGTAATGTGAAATTGAATTGATGTGTGAACAAAATTAATTGTGTGTGATAGACATGTTAGATTAATCAACTCACATAAAATTTCAACATTTTTACGTGTTAAATGTGTTAACATCATCATCACACAATTACGATTGGACATAAATTCAAATCCACTTAATTCCATAAGGCGTTGATATTTGTGTCCAAAATTGCCCGTGGAGGAAGGAAATGACCAAATGATAGTAGCAATTGAAAGCCATTTAATGACGGATGTTGATTTAATACCAACAGGGGTGGTTCTTTTTACTGCTTTGAGTTTGAATTTATTGAAAAATTATAAAAAACATAATATTTCATAAATTCATTAAACATGATTTAAATAAATTTATTTATATCAATTTTAAAAAATACATTATATAAAACTTAAATATTGAAGGGCTTTTTAATTATTATTGTTATTACCGGGCTACCCCACTCCTCCTGGATGCAGGGTATTTTTCGGAAGTGGCGTAATTGACTGGGTTGCTTGACCTATGAGAATGGAAGATTGACTCGGCATTGTTACGAGCAAGGCGTGAGGAAATAGGTCTCGACAAAGCTAAACGGTGAATGAATGTTGTTGTTTTCTTGTCTATTTTTACTTTTTATTTCTTCCATCATTGGCCAATAAGATTTTTCGTGAAAAGTATACATATATATATGTATGTATAAATGTATTAATGTGTGATTGTAAGTATATTATTTTGGTGCACATAATTCTGTACGGGCAAATAAAATACATAATTAAAGTTAGACTTTGAAGTTGTCTGCCTGTTGTTCATCGTTTCTTGGAGATATCAGGATCACACTCATTCCTGGATACATGGAAGATCCTAGAAAGAAATTTCCTAACCATCTAACTGAAAGGAAGTATGGTTTTAACTGGACCCCTTAATCTTAAACACGTACAGTAACATGACCAAAAAAAAAAATGAAATCAAACACATGAAATCAATATAATTTAAAATTTTAATAAAAATTATATATGAATTTGATAAGAATAAAAACTATATATATATTTTGTGTTTGACATGATAATACAACTTATGATATGATAATTTTTATATTTATATATATTAAACATGAAATAAACAAATATAATACACGAATTGTCAAATTTAATTTTAATTTTTTTAAAAGAAAAAGCTCATTTTAAATAGAGATGATAATGAATTGGATTGATTCAAATTAAGTCTGACTATTTTGGTTAATATATAGTATATGAATTTTCAAAACCCTATCCAAATTGAAATTGACCTCCCTAAAAATCAAATTGATACGAATCGAATTATAATAATTCGATTTTTTTATTTTTGAAAAAATTTTTAAAATTATTTGTTATTCTTTTGATACTATTTTAAATATATTTAAATAAATTTAGATATAAAAAAACAATTAATTTTATTTTATAAAAACTTTAAAATATATAAAAATTAATAAAAATACATAATTCGATAAAATTCAAATATTTTTTATTTTTTATTTTTTATCAAAAATCAAATCAATTCAAAACATATAATATCTAAATTTAAATCGAACTAAATTAAAAAAAAAAGAATCCAAACATTACAAATCAATTTTTAATTTTTTTCATTTTTCGTACATCTATTTTTTAGGTATCTGACCTAAGCGATTCCAAGAAGGGAGATGGAAAGTAAGTGAGTACTCTCCCCTTGTTAAAAGTAAAATTATTGTTTGGACAAAAGGGACCCTTCAATTATTAGAATACATTTACATAACCCAGTTTTAGAGTTTGAGGATAGGAATTGGACGAGTGTACTTCATTAGGACTAGTTTACCGTTCAAAAACATTTAGCCCGCTAGCGAATTGGATAAGGATAGCAATCTCGACTTCAACCCCGCTCGAGACTTTCTACTTATCTCTTCGACAACAAGCAGGACCCAATCGCTTTATATGCGAGCATTTAATCCAGCTATGGGCTTCTATTCTTGCAGGTGAGTTTACTAATTTTTCTTTAATTTCTTCATCTCTTTGGTTATCGGTTTATAACTTTAAATGCGAGCATTTGAATGTTTGATAAGCTCTCCTTTTGATTTGTGTGTTAGGCTTTATAATCGATTCATCCTTATCCTTGTTGAAGATAAAACAATTCAAAATAATAGACAGCAAAAAAAAAAAAAAGAAAAAGATGCATGTATATATGTAAGTTATATATCCAATTTTTAATCACCATAATTATTTTGAAATATTATTTGATATACTAAGAGGTTTTAATTCTACAAATGAGATTTAGATTATGACATATATTTCATTTTTTAATTTAATTTTTTTATTTTTTAAATATATGTTAAGGGACATGTATTACTATCTTAATCTTATTTATAAAATTAAAAAACTTAACATCAGTATATTTAATAATTTATATTTAATAAAGTTTCAATTATTTTATATAAATATAATAATTCACATATTTGCATCCTATTTATTTCTTATTAAATGTGTTAAAATATGAAAATTATATGTTAAATTAGGATCAATATGTCAAATATGAAATTTACTATTTGATTTTGTAAATTTATATATAATTTTAATTTTTATTAAAATTTTAAACTATATCATTTTTATGTCTTTTTTCATATTATTGTTATATTTTATTATTATATCATATTTAAAATTATTGAATTTATTCATTTGTGTCCATGCTTTAAGTCGGAAAAAATCTCACATGATAGGCACCCTGTTAGAGAAGATGATAATAAATTAAATATCTAATTCTACAACCACTGTATGACAATGATCTTCTCTATTAGGTTATTCATGTTTATCTAGTTTATTTTTCATGGGTTCGAATTTTTCTCTTGTTTACATTTATAAAGACAACAATTTTTATGAAGGATTTTTTAGCAAATTATGCTTACGACAATGAATTTAATGTTGTTAAGTTATTTTATCGGCCCTGTACCTTGGATAAATTGTTTAAAAGAAGACTTCATGGGTGTCGCAAGGATAGGGCCTATGTAGTATATGCTCCGAAAAAATTATATATCTAACATAATAATATTATGGGTTAAAATAAAAAGTTTAACAAGCTTAATTAAATGACTGATGATGCAATTTACTTTATACGTTACTATATATTTGTAAACTAATATAACTTGAATATTATAATTGTTAAGATTTAAATTCCAAAAATAACTCTTTAAATTTTAAACTTCATAGATATGAGATAACACTGTTAATTTAATAGTTTGATTCGTATTTAAATGGATAAATAATAATAATTAGGGCCTTCTCAACCTGAGATTTGCTGATTGTGGGTTTTTGTTCGTTTAGGCTATAGAAAAAAAATGCAAGAACTGTTCTTTAATTTCTCAGGCCATACTCCATAGTCCACGGTAGTTTTGTAGTTTATTCCAATTTCTGGTTTATAATGCAAATGCAAATGTTTATACTAGGCTTGTTGTAATTCCTATAGGAAATAATGGTGATAGATGTGGAAGAAAGAAAAGTATACCATTCCTTTTTATTTCTCTTAGGTCAATTTATTTGTTTGAAATATTGAACTGCAAAAATATTTTTCCATGAATATTACAGCAAAAAATATACATGGAGATTATACTCTTTTTATAGAAGTAGTGGTAATTAACTTCTATTTCTCAATCGCTCAAAGATTATTCGGTCTATATACAAGATGAAGGAGATTATATTCTACTCTTCAAACTGTAATTGATGCTTTACAAACAGAGTACTTTGTGAGGCAAGATCTTTTGGAATTGACTGAGAGCATACATCATACTTCAGCCAAAATGCAGCAGTCTGTTCCTAAGCCAAGTGGGTCAGGATTGCCCAAGCTGCGAGAGGAAGAAGAATGGGCAGACAATGGAGATCTATTTAACGGATGATAAACATAGAGTGTCTGAGCTACCAAAATCTCCAAACTGCTCTTCATTGATTGCATTGTATTTGCAAGGGAATTATGAGCTGACAGCTATTCCCCCCCTATTCTTTCGGCGCATGGCCCTTCTCCAAGTATTAGATTTGTCCCATACTAGCATCAAATCTTTGCCAAAATCTCTTTCCAAGTTGGTTTCATTAAAAAAGCTCTTGCTACGAGGTTGTGAACTCTTCATGGAACTATCACCTCAGGTTGGTAAACTTAAAAATCTCGAGGAGCTTGATCTTGATGAAACTCAGATCATGCATCTGCCAAGAAAGATTGGAAAGTTAGTCAAGTTAAGTCATTTGAGAGTATCATTTTATCATATTTGTGGCAAAAAGGAGTCGAAATCAAACTTTGTGATTCACCCTCAGACAATATCAACTCTTTCGCAACTTGCTGAATTAAACATTGATGTGAATCCGGCAGACAAGAGCTGGGAAGATTCTGTGGAAGCCGTTGTGAAGGAAGTATGCAACTCAAAAACAGTGAAGACTCTTAGCTTGTACCTGCCTAAATTCCGAATTTTAGATTATTTATCATTGATATATCCTTCATTGTCACACTTTAGTTTTACGGTTGGCCATCATAAAAGGAGAATCATATCTCGTGTACCTCATGAAGTTGAAGCAGAATTCAGAAATTGGGATAAATGCTTGAAGTTTGTGAATAGTGTAAACATCCCAAACGAAATAGAAGCGGTACTCAAATATTCTTCTTCATTTTTCTTGGACAACCATGCAACCGCTATGAATCTATCTGAATTTGGGATCGAGAATATGAAAAGCTAAAATTTTGCTTGTAGGCAGAGTGTAATAAGACGGAAACCCTAATTGATGGAGAGATGCATGACGAAAGAAATGAAGATGGTCAATCTGAATCTGACACTGGTTCTGCAGAACATGTGCTTGAATCTCTAGAATATTTGAGCATTTATTACATGGAGAATTTATGGAGTATTTGGAGAGGACCAAATCGTTCTGGATGTATGTCTAGGTTGAAATTCCTAGCGCTGCATACATGCCCCCAGCTAAGACATATTTTCGCTCGTACTTTGCTTGAAAATTTTGTCATCTTAGAGGAGATTATTGTTGAGGACTGCCCCCAAGTCACCAGCCTGGTAAGCCATGCATCTGTCAAGCCAATGATGTCAAATAAATTTCTCCCTAGTTTGAAAAGATTGCTGCTTCTCTACTTTCCAGGACTGGTCAGCATTTCTAATGGTCTATTAATAGCACCAAAATTAGAAAGCATAGGCTTTTATAATTGCCCAAAGCTTAAAAGCATATCAAAAATGGAATTGTCGAGCAATACTTTGAAGATAATCAAAGGAGAATGTCAGTGGTGGGAAGATTTGAATTGGAATGAAACAGAGTGGGGAAATTAGCCAGATTATCTGATGCGTAACTTTTGCCCTATCAGTAATGAGAAAGATGTTATGACCCAATTGACAGAAGACAGGGATCTACTTGAAGCTACCATACAAAATGAAGGCCAACAAAAAGGTAATATATCTTTTAATCTGTGTTTTTTTTTTTAATAATTATTAGCTTATGTGTGGGATCAATTTAATTAGTACATGAACTTTTTATTTTCTGGATAACATGAGTCCTGAACTTTTTTTTTTCATTATAACAAGTAAAATTTTATTATCGTCTTAAAAAAACTAATTGGAAGAGACCAAAACCAAGTCATAACGTTAAAAAAAGAAAGTTTGCTAGCAACTGATGAGAAGTGAAGATTTTAACATTGCTCATTTTGAATATTGGTAGATGATGAAAAGTTGCTCGAAGTTTCAACACAAGATCATAAAGGCCAGTGCTCAGGTAATTTTTCTTTGCAACCCTTATGAGACGACTCTTCTTATTTTTGGTGTCTTTAACTCTTTTAGGTAATTACGGTTCATTGCTGTTAGATTATAAGGAGGACAGAATAACGAGGACAGACGTGACAAAGTCGCCTTCGTCATGGATACTTCCATCCAATTCATGGACGGGAACAGACTCGACAAAGTCTCTTCGTCATGCATTCTTCCATCCAATCCTTTGAGGTCGTTTGAAGTAAGTATCTATCAATATACAAAGCAACCAACACAATATACATTGTTTTATCTTACAATCTTGTGTTTTATTTGGGTTTTTAATTTTACTATCTTGACGGTCCGTTATTCTGACTGGAAATGCTGGATCTCCTTAAACCACGAAATTAGAAGCCTTAACTTGACAATTTGCTTGGCCGGTTAAGAAATGAAACCCTAAATATTGTTTGTGTACAACTTATTCAAAATATTCAACTTAATTTAGCAACTGAACCATCTTGATTGCTTTTGCTTGTCTCATTGTAATTTTTTTGAGTACTTGTGTCTTAATGATTTTTCTTTTTTAATTTTTATCTAGATTACCTTTTTCTTTTAAACAGAAAAACTGTGTAAATCTTGGATATAAATACTCATACAAGTATATATAGCCAAGAGGCCAGAATTTTGTTATATTCTGGTCCAAGTCTAGGTTTGATCCCTCATATTGAGGCCAATCTGGCTGACATAAGGCAAATTTATGCCACGTTCCCTCCTAGTCAATTTCTCTCTTTCCTTCTCTCTTTGTTTGCTTGTTTTATTGCAAATTTTTAAATTTTACACGTTTTTTGTGCTATTAAATCTTTTTTGAACCCTATACTTAACTCAATTGCTTCATGAATCTGGAACTTAAATTTATTTTTGTGCCATTTTTTGTTTTGTGGGGAAAAAAAATTTTTCAAGATGGAATGGCATGTCAGGGTCAAATTGACCAAATCAACAAGTTAAGGCCTTTCCTTAATAGCGTTAAGGATTTAACTGTAATCAACATTTTATGAAAGTAAAGTATACTTGTAATTGAAGCAGATGGACTAAATTTAACAAATATAGCGGAATGGAAACGGGGATGTTAATCCTGATGTTTTGTTTACTATGATGCCAATTAGCGTTACTGGATTGATACAATTTTTTTATCCATAATTTTAATTACATACAGGTAGGTATATCTAATTACAACTCCAAAAAAAGTTATAGCAGAATTCTCTGATTTTATAAACAATCCTTGCAGTGATGAGCATGATTATAACTTATAGTCATCCCCACAAGGATATCTTAACCTTCAACGATCATAATTCGAAGTGTATGTAATTTGATTTTATTAATTTGAGTCAAATCTTATTTGTCAGCCTTGATTTTCCATTATCATTACACAGAATTTGTTCTAATTTCAGGCACCAAAACAAGCATTGAGCCTTTTTTCATCAGAGAAGAACAAGATTTTAGAAGATGGTTACTTTGATCTGGCTTCAGAAATGTGTGAAGTAGACGTTAATGAAGATGAACCTAAGGCCAAAAGGTCAGTTAAGCATTTTTATTGATGTACTCTGTGAAGTAGACATTGCTGTTCTCTAGTGTTACTTATACTTGTTACTATTTAAGCATTTTTATGCAATAGTAGTGCCCTTCACTTCCTTAAACCAGAAGGGTTACTTTGCTCTGTTTGCAATCTCCTTTCCTCCAATTTAAAACACCTTTAAATGTCTTTCAGTCTTCACACGAAGGATGAGATTGAACTTATGGAAGTCAATTATGCAAGTGGCTTGGTCAAATATAATTAAGCTTATGGGTAAGGTTTTATGAAGAATAATTTTAATGGAGTGGTTTAACATTTTGTAGCAACTGTACTGAGAACGAAAGCACGGGTCTCATAGGTCCTGCGAGCAAAACCACGAGAGGGCATAGAGTTGCATTTCGAACCAGAACCAGAAGCAGCAGTGCGGTAATTGATGATGGTTATAGATGGAGGAAATATGGACAGAAATCAGTCAAGGGTAATCCCTATCCAAGGTGATTACTTCACCTGATATTGTTTAGGAAGTTCCGAAATTGCTAAACAATGTGTGTATATAAATGCTTAGGGAGAGATTAAATGTTAATATGAAAAAAGAATCAAATGAATTATGTCAAAAATTGTATCGAAAAAAGGATAGTGGTGGAGGATTGTGCTCAACTCTTCTGTTTCTCTCATATGCTAGCACCAGAAATTATATGAGAAACATTACACATATTGAATGCCTAAAAAAATGTTTGACAAAAATTGTTAGTAATGTCTGGTGCATTTGAAATTGGCAGGATACGGAGATGTATTTGAAGCATCAATACAAGATAAAGGTGCGCATCCAGGTAATTAATTCTTCCTTACCTTAAGGTTTCTAATTTTTTTTTCTTTTTTGCCGGCAACTAAGTTTAGTTGCAGATAGAGAAACACAGCTGCCACTGAATGAAGAACATTTCTTGAAATATGAATCTCCCATGTCATATTACAAGTTGAGGTTTAATATTAAATAACCAAAAGCATTGCTGTTTATTTGGAAAGACAGTCTACTCCTATTGATGCATTTGAAATTGGCAGAATATGCAGGTTTTCCTGCAGCTTCGATACGACATGAATCCCAACAATCAGGTAATTGTTCAGTTAGAGTCTTTGAGAGGATGTTTTATTTGCATTTCCTAGTTTAACCCATAGGTACTCTCATTTAGTTAAGAGCAGAAAATCAACTGATGCATATACTTGGAGGTGTTATGGGATCAAAGGATTGACAGGAAACAGAAGACGAAGTTATTACAGGTGTGCACACCCTGGGTGCCCAGCTAACAAGTCAGTTGAGAGATCATTAGAGGGGCAGATAACCCAGGTCATTCATAAAGCTTGGCACAACCATCCTGAGTCACAGCCTACTAGAACTTCATCACTATCTGCCTTTTCTCACATAATCCGGGCTTCCAATCATCTTACAATCAAAATCCCAGATCAGTCCTTTGTCACGTATGAAGGTGGACATAGCGACACTGAAGCAGGATCAGTTGTTTTTATGAGATCACTAATGGATAAAAAATTTGATCAGCCTTCTGATAGACCTAGCGCAGACAATGATGAAGATGTTCCAAAGGCCCAAAAAGGGTTAGTTAAAACAAATTCTAGCATTATTATAAAGTTTTATATGAGATTTACCAAAAAAGGTCTTAAAAATTTGACGTTCTTGGATTTTGCATAATCTAACTAAAATTCTCCAACAGTTTCAGGAAACGCTCAAAAGCAAGTGTTGTCAGAGTAACGGTCAGAGCCAACGATTTCAGGGAGATAGTTCAAAGCTTGACAGGAATGCCTACGAAGGAAGCACAGGAAGAAAGAAAGCTGAGTGCAAGGAATCGGTGTGTAATAGAAGTACAGAGAAAAACGGAAACTGAGTGCAATAGGAAGGATAAGCAGGAAGAAACAGGGCAAGTAATAGACGTAAACTTGGCAGATACCAGTTTAATATGATCGGTTGGAGCCTAAAATAATTTTTTTTTTCACTTTTTTCTTTGTTTAGTAAGAAAGAAATAAGTAAATTTGTACATTTTTCCCTCTAAATTCAATTTAAGAGGAAAATACTCATTAAACTTAAATTAATGATTTTATTTACTTTACCCTTAATATCTTTTTTTATTCTATTTTCTATCTTTCATATCAATCAAAATGAAGAAAAAAACTTTTTTTCACTTTTTTTTCTTTTCTTTTTATTTTTTTAATTTCCTACCAAACATAATATAAACGTTCATAAGATTGGCACTATAAAATAAAAAAAAATTTATGCTACGCATTCTAGTAGTGCTGACTAAATTTTAAAACACGGCATGCAAGTGTCACGTGGCCACAAGCATGTATGCCTGCCAAACATTTTTATGTATTCATAAAATTAGTTAATCTAAAATTTTAAAATAATTAATCTAATTACATAATTTGATAATATTTAAGTTAAACATGTTATTATTATTAAAAATTAATTATATATCTTTGTACAAATAAGTTGAGATAGATTAAGGATGCAGCTATCTACCTGGGGGCTGGAAGGACTCAACAATTGGAAACTATGTATACTTGCTTGCCAACTCTCTTTCTCCTCTTGCCTTGAAAAGCTGCAAAATATAAAGTCAACAAGGTTTACAAAATTGAAGCCTTTTTCTTGCACTAAACATCTACGATTCAAGAAGCCTAGAGAGTCAAGATGACACTAAATTGTTGAATTTTTGTTCTTGTTCACAAACTGAGTTGAGACTGAATCAGACTAACAGTGACCCGAAGGAAAAAAAAAACCTGAAGAAAAAACAAGGCTGGCTTCATAGACATGCATAAAGGGATAGGGGAGTGCAGTAAAATCACCTGAAAATCGTCGTGGGAACTGTTGTAAGTTCTGCTCAGCGATCAAGTCACTGTTGTGAGAGATGAGAAGGAACTATAACTGGTCCAGACTGCCAGAGTTGACTTGGTGGTTGACACGGATAGTTCCCTGCAATGGTGTGTGGGTAGTGCTTGGTAGTTTTTGGTATTTCATTTTTCCAATGTTGGCCAATAAGATATTTCATGACAAATATATATGCATGTATAAATGTAATAATGCATGATTGTACGTATATTATTTTGCTGCTCATAATTGTGTACGAGCAAATTAAACACATAATTAAGGTTGGACTTTGTAGTTGTCTGCTTGTCATTGGTCCTTTCTTGGAAATATAGAATCAGATTCACTTTCCTGCATGCATGGAGGAACCAAGGGAAGAAATTTCCTAACCATCTAACTGAAAGAAAGTGAGGGTTTTAACTAACGTGACAAAAAGAAAAAATGAAATCAGACGCATGAAATTAATACAAATTGGAATTTTAATAAAAATTATATATGAATTTGATAAAAATAAAAAATATATATTTTGTATTTGATGTATTATCATGAATTGTGACATGATAATTTTAATATTTTACACTTGTTAAACATGAAATAAACAAATATAAATATACTAATTATTAAATTTAATTTTAATTATTTAAGAAAATACTTCTTTTAGGTAAGGGTGATAATTTATCAATTCTTGCATATTAAATTTAGCTATTTCTGTTAATCCAAGCTAACCTCCTTAAAAAATTGAATTGATATGAATCGATAACTTTTTGTTATTATTTTCATATTATTTTAAATATAATTAAATAAATTTAAATATAAAATAATTATTTTTATTTTATAAAAATTTTAAAATATATAAAATTAATAAAAATATATAATTCAATTGGATTTGAATATTTTTTATATTTTTATTTTTTTTATTAAACTCGAATCAAATTGAATTAGAACATAAAATATCTAAACTTAAAACCAAATTGAATAAAAAAAATCTAAATATTACGAATCAATTTTTAATTTTTTCAATTTTTTTTTCTTCCCACTACTTTTTAGGTACCTAACCTATGGAATCCAAGAAAGTGAGATGGAAAATAAGCGAGTGAATTAACACTTTCCCCTTGTTAAAAGTCAAATTATTGTTGGGACGAAAGGGACCCCTTCAATTATTGGACTATATTTACATAACCCAGTTTTAGAGTTTGAGGATAGGAATTGGATGAGTGTACTTCATCAGGACTAGACTACCGTTCAAAAACATTCATGTATAAATGTTGGCCAATAAGATTTTTCATGACAAGTACATAAGCATGTACAAATGTATTCATGTATGATTGCACGTATATTATTTTGGTTCTCATGATAATTTTGTACAAAAAAATTAAACACATAATTAAGATTGGACTTTGGAGTTGTTTGCTTGTCGTTGGTCCTTTCTTGGATATCAGAATCACACTCACTTTTGTAGATGCATAGAGGATTCTAGAGAAGAATCTCCTAACTATCTAACTGAAAGGAAGTGAAGGTTTTAACGCGGACAAAAGGACTCAATCAGGCATCTATCAGTTTGATACTTAGATTGTTTAGTGGGGGACAAAATATTTGGGGTATTTTTGGGCTTAAATAATAAATTAGTCTTTGTTCTCATTAGACGCTATCAGTAGATAGCTAAGGGTATTTTTCAACTTTTGGATTGACCTGATATGTATAATATTATATCAACTCGATTATGTCGTTATTTTACTTGACCAAGAACACCGGTAAGATTTTTCGAAGTTTGACACCAAGAAATTTAACCAACTGCCAAAATCTTCGAAGTTTTCTAGAAACATTGATGAAGTCAAAATTAGACCACCTTAGTCACCTTTTAGTCATCGTGACCTTGGTCAAAAAATTCAAATTTCAGCTGTAAAATCCCAAGAATTGCAAACCTAGGAAACAAAAACCCTAAGAACACCCAGACAACCCAAAAATAAACTTATACTTAAGTTTGAATCTCCGTTAAAAAATTCTCAGCAAATCAAATAGTAGAAAAAGAACATATTCAAAAACAAAAACCCATAAACCAAATTGAATTCTCAAAAAACAAAATGCAAAGAATCCTTTATCCATTTTGTATATTCCTTCCCCATATTCTCCCTAATTTCAGAAACCTTAAAAAATTCAATCTTGATTCCAGAAACCCTAAAGAACGAATCCAACCCAAAAATCTCCCAACCAGAACCCTAGTTACCTACACAACTTTTATTTTTCTATAAAAACTTTCCCCTAGAGTTTTTGTCTCCCCTGTTGTATGTGTGTTGGAATGTGATTTATAGACCTTCTGATAGTAATTTTAAAGATTGCCTTAAATGGTTGAGATTGGATTTGTCACCGGCAGATCCAATCTTAGCTTCCTTTGATTTAGGGATTTTGATTTCATTAGATTGAGGCTAATTTTGTTTCCAATTCCATGCATACATGATTTTTGAAAAAGTTTTATGATTTCGTTTCTTTTTTTGTTTTTTTACTTTTTTTTTTACTTTTGACTTTTTGTTAAATTTTCTAAAATAGAAATAATAATAATAATAATAATAATAATAATAATAATCAAATAAAATTAAAAATTTTTTATTGGGCCCGAAGCTTCCCAATAGGGCCTAATTTTTTACCAAAGTTCATTTTCATGTTGAAAAAATTTCAGACAAAATTGGGTGTCTATAGTTGCCCATTTTTACACAATTTCTATGAAACAATAATTGCATAAAGATAAAAGACATCCATTTTTTTCAGGTTCAAAAAAAAAAATCAATAACTTGAAATCTAAATATTCACAATTTGGGGATTTAAGGGTTCACAAAACTACAAAGATTCACAAGGTTCTATAACAAATATTGAAAGATTCTAAGATTCCAAGATTTGCAAAATATTCGTAATGATTTCAAAACTTGAAAAGATTCAAGATTCGCAAAAGTTTTCAGATTTGCAAGAATTTCAAGTTTTGCAAAAATTTCAAAAGTTTGTAAATGATTCAAGATTCTTAGAGGTTCTATATTCACAAAAATTTCATATTTACAAAGGTTTCCAAGTTTCGTAGAGGTTCTATATTCACAAGGATTTTAACTTTCATAGAGATTCCATATTTGCAAGATTCCAGATTCACAAAGATTTCAAGTTTCGCAAAGATTTCAAATTCGTAAAGTTTTCAATTTCACAGAAGTTTCAAATTCACAAAGGTTTCAAGTTTCACAAAGATTCCAAGTTTCATAGAGGTTCTAAATTTGCAAGGTTCTCGATTTTGCAAAAGTTTCAAATTCGCAAAGGTTTCCAGTTTCACAAAGATTTTCAGATTTGCAAGAATTTTAGGTTCGTAAAAGTTCAAAAATTCGCAAGACTTTCAATTTCGCAAGAATTTTAGATTCACAAGAACTTTATATTCACAAGAACTTCATATTCACAAAATCTTCAGATTTGCAAGAGTTTCAAATTGGCAAGAACTTTAGGTTCACAAGAATTTTAAGTTCACAAGAGTTTTAGATTTGTAAAAATTTAAAGTTCGCATGAACTTCAGATTTACAAGAACTCTAGGCTCGTAAGAGTTTGTGTTTCGATAAAACTTTTATCATTGTAAAGATTCACAAACTGTAATTCATAGACAATATTCAAAGATTCACATTTAAAAGATTTTAAGTTTTATATGAAAAAATTCATGGATTCACATAAAAAAATTCAAGGCTCACCTCTAGAATTCAAAGATTTTTATTCAAAAAAATTGAAGGATTCACATCCAAAATTTATATTCGAAAAATTTTAAAGATTCACATTCAAAAGTAAAAACTTTTATTTTAAAAACTTAGAGTTTCACATATTTCAAAAATTCACATTTAAAAACTTTAACATTTCACAACCAAAATTTCAAAGATTCTTATTCTAAAAGTTTTTAGGTCTCATATCCAAAATTTCAAATATTTCACATTTGAAAAATTTTAAGAATTCTCATCCAAAGTTTTAAAAATTCACCTTCTAAAATTTTTAGAGGTTCACACCCAAAGTTTAAAAGACTCACATTCAAAAAATTAGAGATTCACATTCAAAGTTTCGAAAGTTTTTTTTTCAAAATTTTATGGCTTCACATCCAAAGATTTTCATTCAAAATTTTTAAGATTTTCCATCCAAAATTTCAAAAATTCTCATTTAAAAAGCTCTTTTAAACAAAGGTTATGTAACTTTAAAAGTTTGGAAAGTTTTTCTTGTCAAAATAAAATCTCAT